AGGGGGCCTTAGTTTTCATTGTGACCGTTGGCGTTGTTTGGGTTGGTGCATGGCCTACATTGGGTGGTGGGCTCGTGGGTCTGTGTATCCTGCTGGGGTGGCTGCGCACCATGCGGGTCAGCTCGCTTTGCATCCTGCGGCAGCGAATCTGGTGACCGTTCTGCAGAGGAACGTTTGTGGCTGTGGAGGGGGGTTACAGGTGTGCCGGCAGCGGCAGCGGACAGGCCACAACTCGCGCTCAGGAAGTCGTTAATTGTGGCGCCAATCCCAAGTTGCTGTTGCTCTTGATCATGCTGCTGTGCTTCCAGCTGGTTGGTGCTACTGTCGCTACTGCTGCTGCGGCGACTGCTGGTGCTACTGCGGTGACCACTGGTGCTGCTGCGGCGACTTCTGGTGCTTCTGCGGCGACTGCTGGTGCTGGTGCTGCTGCTGGTGTTGTTGTTGGCGTTGTTGCTGCTGCTGCTGTTGTTGTGCTTGTTGTGGCTGCTGCTTTTGCTGCTGCTGATGCTTTTGGCCACATTTGAATTTGTGGAGGTTTGGAATCTCCATGCAGTAGAGCGGCCTTGGCCAGAAATTGGCTGACATCACTGTCAGCTTGTAGGTGGCATCAACTGATATCCTGGCGGACACTTGCCCGTTTCCGGCTGTGTGTAGGCTGCATTGGTGTGCTTAGACAGGCTGTTGTAAAATGATGTGTTGTTTTCCTGTGTGATGGCATTCCCCAAACTGTCTCATCTAGTCGCGTGCATGTGTGATATGAGCATGCGCGATTTTGTAGTCGAGAGTCCTTTTGTCAGTCTTCTTGTTCGTCCCTTTGAGTGTTGTCTCCATTTCTGTATTGTCAATAATAATTATGTAAACCAAACTAGTCTTGTCCTTTGTGTCCTGCGTCCCGGGGAACGGAATGACTGAGATTTCGTTACAAGGCGTCCCCACGCTTTCCGACCTACGGTGTACAAACTCAGTGAGGCTGTCCACCGTACAGTCGGGGCTTGAGTTGCCCACAAAGAACCCAGATCGCTTCTTTCTTGGCGGGCCCGCGGCAACTAACTTCCAACTGTCATCCTTGATGACGGCCAGGATAGGTTGGCTCTTCTCGCAGTTTGATTGCACAGGCTCAGGATCGACCAAGCCGGGGTCGTCCGTACGGGTTTCGTGCTGTGCAGAGCCAGAGGTCACGCCGGCCTGCCCTGACTGTTGTCCATCATCTGCATCGGCTGGGTCAAGCTGGTGTGCTGCTGGGTCAAGCTGGGGAGGTTTCGTACGGGTACGAGATTTGTCGCCTTGGGTTTGGTGCTGAGATCGTGCAGGGGCCTTGTCGGGAACAATGGCGGATTTCTGCAGGGAACAAAATTCCTCACGGAGACCTAGGAGCTGCGCGGCGAGGTCCTCCACACGCTGATGGAGACGCGCCTCACGATCCCTGGACTCGCTGACATGAAAATTCAGGGTCTGCATCACGCTGAGCAGAGTCTGCTCTATACCCGGGAGGGAGCAGAGAGGTTTCATCGCAGGCTCTCCTGCTCGCTCGCCCATGGTGATGGTTCTCCCTAACTGCTTTACCTACCTACACCCCTACACTACGCTACCCTACTACACTATGCTACCCTACACTGCCACTAATACCGCTACTGTCATACTTCCAGACCGGCCTATTGCCGGCTGGGCTGTCAAACACTACGGAGCTGAAAAAGTCACAACTGTCTCATTCAGATCTCTACAGGACTTTGCAATAAATAAGATAAATTGTGCACTCATAACAACAGCAAAAATGAAGAAAGTCAAGTCCCATAACGTTTTCTTGTGACTCTCATCAGTGGAACACCGTCACATAAAAATGAAATAACTAAAACACACACTTATATACATGTAGCTAATTATGGTTTCAGGTAGAAATACAGCAGCTAACAAGTACAAAAAGCGAAGTTTGCACCTTTGCAATGTGTGAATATAGTGTATGTGAGAAAGGTAGTGGCAGATGAATGTGATACTGTGTGAATGAATGTAATGGTGCGTGTGTATTACTACCTTTCTCAAATACACTATATTCACACATTGCAAAGGTGCAAACTTCGCTTTTTGTACTTGTTAGCTGCTGTATTTCTACCGGAAACCAAATTAGCTACAGGTATATAAGTGTGTGTTTTAGTTATTGCATTTGTATGTGACGGCGTTCCACTGATGACAGTCACAAGAAAACGTTATGGAACTTGACTTTCTTCATTTTTGCTGTTGTTATGAGTGCACAATTTATCTTATTTATTGCCATTTTACGACTATTGTCTCCCCGTCGATTGTTTAAATTGCATCTAGTTCATCAATTCCAGCTTCCAATAACAGAAAATAGAACTTTGCTGTCACCCTATACTGATGACTATCGCCTATGTCCGATTCCTTGCCTCTGGTACGAGTGCTGGTGAGTAAATACCCCGTTTTATATCAAAAGTCAAACAGCGACAATTTCGATGATGCGGAGGAAGTGGGTGAATCGGGGAAACGGAAGGTGGGAAGGCGATTGGAAAGAGATGGAAAGAATAGGGGTTCTGTTTTATCTACGTTTGGGTGCAGAAACCACTTCCGCATCCAATTTGTAGTGGCGGATATCTTCTCCTGAATAAAGGGGTAGAGGCTGGAGTAGGTCGGCGACGAGGCAAGGGCAGCAGTGTCAAGTTACGCTACAATATCCACTAACACCACCAGTTACTTCAAAGTACTTTACAGTCAACTCATCGTATCGTGTCGTGGCTGGCCAAGAGTCCAATGTCTTCCCCTTTTCCACTGGTGTCCCTCAAGGAAGTATATTGGGGCCTACCCTATTCTTGTTATACTTGAATGACAAGGACCCTAGTCTCTTCGAGAGAGTAGACCTCGCAGTCTATGTAGACGACACCACACTATATCGGATATTGCAGTGGAATGAACAAAGCCATGCTCTTCAGCATGCAGTCCTCTCCACCTGGGGCAAAACCTGGAAGATCTCATTTGAGCACACCAAATCCCAGGCTCTCACCATCGATCATCATCCGCCATGTTGGCACTCCCTAGCCATCTCCTTCGATGGAGTACCAGTTGTGGAGGAAGCAGAGCCCATCCAGCTAAACCCTTTCCATTCTGGCCTGGTTCTCCAATAAACTGACACTCCAGCGCAGGTACCATCCTGGTGGAGTTTTGGCACACTGCTCCGAACAAAATAGATTATCATTTCAGTTCACCTGAATGGAATTCCATCATCAGGGCGTGTTGGAAAGATCAGGACCAAGGGAATCCATCCTGGAAGGTATCAGCTCCATAGTCCTACCAGGGCCACTTCCACCACCTCTCCGAAATGGCCCTCCGTGCCTCGGAACTAAACAACAGCTCAGCCACTCATTCTTTTTCGGCGCCTTGCTCAAATTCAACCGATTTTCACAATTCAAACTGTTCCAGTTCAAACCTGAGATCCACGCGCTTCATATGACGTGCATAAGAACTGCGCTTGATAATAGGGAAATCTCCTGTTATACTAAAAAACTGCGAAGTCACCAACACACAAATTCGCGATCGCTCAGTGTGTAATAGCTGGCCCCGGAGGCAATCACACTCACTCAAGTCAAACACTCACGTCGTAGTTTACCAGTGAATATTATACACCCTTGGAATGCAAAGAGATAGAAAGGCAACAAGAAAGAAGAAAGCAAGGGAACAAAAGTCCGGCAACCGGCAGCCATGTGTTAGGTCATTCACCAATAAGCAATCTACGAAAAACGACTGCCGACAAAATTCGAGAAACTTCTTGAACATTAGTATAATTAGCCAATCTCAGTTCACAGCTCGGGAACATTCTGGAATATGAATACTAGCAGCCAATCACAGTTCGCAACAGACAGTCATACGGGTAAAGTGGGGAAATACGGGTATTGCCATCCACGACTCACGGAAAGGGTAATAACATGCAGATACAAAAATACGCAAGGGGAGAAAAAATGTAATTAACTGCCCATCTTGGGGTTCGAACCTAGGAATCAATATTCACACAAAAAATATTACGGTTCGTATGAGACTCGGCCGAGGCCCATTTTCCGCAACCGCAGGAATACCACCACCCTCTTGGATCAAGGCGCAGATGCAGCTCCTAAGCGGTTGGAGGTGATTAGCTCAGACCCACCACAAAGTGGTCAAAGACCGAAAATCCCATTCACTGCATCCATGCTTCCATCGTGCCAGGCCACGAGTTCCCAATTAACTGTGGGTTGCAGCATGGCTGAAAAAATCCTTCCGCTTCCAAGCAGGACTTGAACGTGGTACCCTCTGTCATGGTCTTAGACCATCCCACTATGCCTGCCTGCTGACAAGCTCTACAAATAAATACTCTTAAACTGTGAAAAATATACTTTCTATCAAAATGCAACTCCTACAAGTGTTCCTTTTTTCGTCGCTCAGTCTATCTTCACCCTATCGCGAAAGTTTCTACACTGGTTTGTTCACCACAATGCACGATGAAAATAGAAGCAGTTGTACACATCATCAGAGAAAGGTCATAGGGCCCAGGCGTGTGTCTTATACACATTGTCCTCACGCAAAGGGTTAATCCAATTTATTTTGTTCCATCCAATTTCAATTTCTTTCAGTATGACAAACCTACTGCACAGCTGGTCCGACCATGTGCCTTATCTTGTTTGGCCTTGACCCACCAAATATGCTCCCTGTTGATTGAAACATGCTACTAAAGCATGATATCCTGCTGACCAAATATGCTCCCTGTTGATTGAAACACGCTACTAAAGCATGATATCCTGCTGGTAGAGTGTCTCACTTCAATACTGCACAATTTGTAAATTGTCAGTTGTCCCAATTTTTGCCTCATTACGGCAATGTGATGACTCGGTTATGATGATTTTCCCTGGGTGGTATTCATGTTTGAAGTGTTGGTCTGTTTTGTGTAAGTGAATGCATTCACAATTATTTCCTTCAATATGACTTTTTTACTGCCTGCTGGTGTGTCTGCTCCTCCTTCCCAACAGGCATGTATCCAAGTACTGCTCGTTGCCCACTTGCATCCTTACATATCCCACTAGGATACAATTTTGAACCCGTCAGTGCATCAACAGCCGTGGGAATTTGCAGCAATGCTGGTATGGTGATTCCTACATCTCGCTACTCATATCGCCTCAGGAAACTCTTTGTTCAAGACTGTGTGTATGATATGATCCAACATTATCCCCATGCCATTGCCATGGTTAGAATTGTAGCTTCAAATCTTCCCGCGATCCATTTTTTGTACAATCTACATCACGGATATTTCTTCCGTGATGGACGTTTCCATCGAATTTATGGATCGAGAAATGCTCGGGTGCTTTGTGCAGGTGAGTTTTGTTCTCTGAACAGAAACATTTGCATTCCTGTGCTCCATGTGAACTTTAGCATGCATCCATTTCGTGGATACACACAGGTACAAATGTCTTGGACCTCAGACTCATGAGCTCAAGACCTCTTCTTCAACCATGTTCGATTACCAATAAGGGCCGAATGCTGCATCGCAGCCCTCTCGAACCAAAACCAAAACCATTCAAAAGCAGTGTCCAAAGGACTGCAACATATGGGCCACTCGCGGTCATCTGTGCTTTCTTAATTAACCCTGTGCTACCCACGCATCGGTTCGACAGAGCATTAAAAAAGCGCCTCTCAGCCGGTTCCGGGTCGAATCGACTCTTTTTTGTCATGCTAGGTATAGACTACTGGAAGCCCGGGACATCACCATCTATGTGTCGACATACATTATATTATTGAGCCGGAACTGTGCTACACGTGCGCTTCACTCAAATGGCGTGTCAGCTGTTTTTGACGAGGTGAAAGTTTGTAGGAATGGATGTCAGCGATGCTCTCGCCTTGGTCCTGACGACCTACAATGATTCAAGCGATGATTCCCTAGGCGAGAGCAAGGATGAGTTGTTGTCGCCTGAGGTGGAGGAGGAACTGGAGTTTGACCTAGATGACGATTTCAACAACAATAGCGGCAATGATGGCAGTGATGATATATTTGAGATCGATGCTGAAAACAGCTCTGCCGAAGGAATTGGTGATGCTGAACAGTCATCAGAGGATGAAGACGATGGCCAAGGACCAAGCAGTGGGTGCCAGAGAGGTCTCGGATGAACTGCAGTGAGACGTCGACGACGTGAAGGATCTGGCGCACGCAGACGTGGACGTGGAGACGGAGCAAGCACATGCGGACATGGTACGCCTGGTCGCAGCGCGCGCGGACATGGTACGGGCGTACGAGGCCACACACGGAGGAGGAAGCTGGGGAGGTACCGCTGTCCCTTTTGCAGCTACAAGAACTCTCGATTTTCCGGCCCACCATGCTGTTCCAAATTTCTTCCATCAGCCTGCTCGTCCTGTTGGAAATCATCTTCCTAAAATCTTCAACCCAGCGAAATAAATTGATTTTTTCCAACTGGTTTTTGGCTGGCATTTGTGGGAAAGCTTGTTGAGTTCACCAACCTGTATGCTGGGCACCACATTCTGAACAAGCCCTTCTATGCCACGGATGGCCAGTGGGCACCAACGTCATTTACTGGCTTTGCTAATTTACTTCGGCTTGGCACGAATTCCAAGTCTACATAAGCGCTGGGAAACAGGAACATCAGTGAATGGCCTTTGGGACCACAGATCATTTACCCGGAAGCGCTTCAAGGGATTGCTGGCTTTCTTCCATTGCATTAACACCAACACCGAGCACCAGAATGACGGTCTTAGCAAGGTACGATACACTTGTGAACAATGCCAAAGTCTCTACCACCGGTACGCGTGCATATCTATAAATGAGAGAATAATTCGATTCAAACGGCGGCATAAAATGAAGGTGCATCAAGAATAAGCCAACGAAGTGGGGCTTCAAGCGCTTTGGATTGTGCGATTCCAAGTCAAGCTACAACTGGACATTCGAGCTGTACACCGGGCACATCACACGAAATTATGCATCTATGAGCGACATCAACAGAGCCTGCTGGGGGAGTACGCGTGTACTCGAGTCTCATCCTGAGCAAGTTTTTTTTCCTTTCCAGCTCGAGTATAGCTGTATTTTCATTCCAAAGTCTTGCTCGAATGTTGTGGTCTGTGTTCAAACGATGTGTGCATTCAATCGAAACGGCAGAGGACGTAAGAGCCTGAGTTTGGCATAGGACGGCCACACAGAGACACTTTGCGATTTTCTGAATATAAAATACCGTACGCACGATGCAGAGTTCAATTTGTGCGATATCAACATTGTTTGTGATCTACCACATCGACCCGTACCTATTAGGAATGTAGAATACTGCTTCCATGGAGAAAGCAGCTTGAGCAAAGATTCCGTCTCAAATGCACTATGACGTGCTATTTCGCCTGACAAGCAAGCAGCCCTGTCTCCCAAAGGTGCTACACATGATCAAGTGATTCGGCTGTGTCAGAAGTTGCTAAATCAAGGATATGAACTCTAAACTATTACACCAGTCAAGCTGGAACAAAAGACTTACCTCAATGGAACCGTTACTGTGCCAGTTGACAGCAACGTGAAACTCAACGGGACCTGGGAGACTGTGCAGATCCCAATGCTTTCAGCACTGTCGGAGTATAACAGATCGATGAGTGGTGTCGATCAGTTTGACCAGCTGGCGAGCAGTTGCTGCTGCGGCGTTCCTTCATTTTGATAAAGGAATTTATGGAGGCGAACCCCGGTCTTATTAATCAAAGCAATAGGTTCTGCCAAGAATATTTCAACCTGGTTTGCCAACTCGGTGGAAATGCGGATGATGAGGTGCCACCAGCAGCTATTGTACAAAAGAGAAAGGCAGTGACCCAACAACCAAATGATGACAGAATTACAGCACATACACCCCTGATTGGACCGTACAGAAACTGATCAGTTCGTACCCAAAATGCCACCGAGCAGAAGACGCAGCATCATTGCAGAAGTTGCCTCAACCGCAAAGGGAACCCGGTTCACCTCTGCATTCAGCCTGAGAGAGACTGTTTTGGCCTGTATCACAGCATGGGCTATCAAGAATGACTTAGCAGGGTCACTTCTAGCACTAGTATTGTTGAACTGGACAGGGTATGCTACATAGGCCCTTGAAAAAATTCGCATGGACTTGGCACTTGGTTGGATATAAATCCAACTTTTCTTACCTTCATATCGATCAAATTGAGTTCATAAGATTCCATTTAAGGATACACTGCTTCCAGAAATAATTAGCTTGACACTTGACAATGTACTTCGTGTTTGAGCTGTGTCATTTTCTTCCGCCTAGTCTGGGTATGCCGAAAACCTGTCCATTATAATGGGTAGCAAAGGGGTTTAAAAAGAACGAAATGGCATTTACTGATTTTTCCAGACAAATTCTCATCTAGTAGGGCGCATTAACGCATTATTTATGGAAGGTACGAGTTCATTTGGGAATAAAGACGGAAGTTAGTGTCATAGTTTCCCCGGACCAACACCATTCAATTCAGCACCTCGAAGACTAAAGCTGGTGAAAATTTGATTGTTAGGCTCTACTTCCCCTTGATGCAAAATGCCGTCAGACATGTCAATCTCTCAATATGCATACTGGTTGAAGTATTTTTGGGGCAGAAAAGATGGCTCCCAATTGAGGTCAGCATGTTAGTCCATGTAAGTGCTGCAACATTCCTCTGCACAGGGAGTATTCAGTGTTATGAACTGGGGAGGTTGGGTTCAAGGGATTGGTGCTGCATTTCATCTAGCATGGTGATGGATAGACTGGGATGTACTCAGCCATGATTTTGTTTTGACTTACATGTATCTCTTAAACTGTCGAATCCTACATATAGAAATGGACTCAGATGGAGAGCCAAGGTTTAATTTATACAAAGAGAAAGACCAAGGAACTATAAGTTACGCTATACTCTCCACTAACACCACCAGTTACTAAACAATCAGCTCATGCGATAACATTGCACGACACTGACCGATGGGACCGACGGGACGGAAAGTACTTCCAAGTTGGAACGCTGTTGGAGTGCGCATCCAAGATGTGCTAGAGCTGTTAGCCAGTTAGTTGTAGAACGTCAGTACCGTCGGTCGGTGTCGTGCAATGTTATCACATGAGCTGATTGCTTAGTAACTGGTGGTGTTAGTGGACAGTATAGCGAAACTTGTAGTTCCTTGGTCTTACTCCTACATAAAGCCCGGGATTTTTTGAAAAATTTCCAATAATCATGACCATGCTTCTGCCCGGGATAAGTTGTGGGCCGAGGTTGTACTGTAAAGTATTAGGGCAGTGGATAGTAGGTTCTCTTCAAGCATGCCAGTGTTATCGCTTGACTTATAGGGCCGTTTTAGAGAGGACATGCCAGTTTTTTGTCGTATCCTGTACATGGATGCAGCTAATGGGGTCGTTTTTGGCACTTGTGCCAGTGGTTGTGAGACTTATCCACTCACCCCCACCGTAAGGCGCTGCATCTGCCGCTAGGATTTATCGGGTGTTAGCGGCCGTCGTGAGTTCCCTTCGGGAACGGACACGATAGTTTACTCTTTTTTATACATAGGACTTGAGTACTATTTTGCAATATCCAGAGTGTTGTAAAGGATGCAGATGATGATAGAACAGGTAAGGAAAGTAGTATAGAATGCATAGTATCCTGAAGAAGTACACGGATACAGTGAATGGATGGAAAGTCTTTGATTGATTGGGGAGCACTGCCACAGGTTGGCATATCTAGTGCTTTTGACCCTTTATTGAATTTTACGACGCATTCAAGTACGGGGCGGCTCCTAAAGGGTTAAAGCCCACAATTGTTTTGGATATTCATGTAATTTTGGATACTTGTTTAGTCTTTGGAATGTAACTCGAAGACCATCGGAGATGTCAAACACACAGCCCATACTATTTCCGAAGCTCACATACCAAGGAATATAATGAGCACCACCCCAAGTGTATCTGAAGAAGGAATATTGCCCATATATGGCAATGAAGTTTCCCACGCTACAATTTAGCGGTATAAACAAAGGTTATCAGGCAGAAAACTACAGAAAGCAGGCTTATAACGTTACTGCACCAAGACAATCTATAATGAACCAGGGGTGATGACCATATATGACATCGAACATTCCCACGCCAATAAGGAGCAATAATCAAGCACAAATGAATACAGAGTGATGTATAATATTTCGGAAATTAGTAGAAAAAGGTATCTTTAAAGCTCGGATGTTGAGCCATAAATAAATGTAGAAAAGAAAAGGACATGGATACGAGTTAAGAGTAACTCTCCATCATTGTAACTTTGTATATAGTATCCAGTTACAGTGATGGAGAGTTACTCTTAACTCGTAACCATAATTATGTCCTTTTCTTTTCTACATTTAAAAATGTATCTATGTGAAGTGTACTTTCTAGTAGCAGTCCTGAATGATGGTGATCAAGAAAAGGCTGAATTCACGTCATCAATAACAACTGCGAAGACATGAAACTATGTAATCAAGTAAGGGAGAAAATAACTCTCAAGTGACAGACTTAGTGTACCAAATCTGGTGACACTCAGGTAAGCAGAGCGGTACATGAGGCTCACAATCAAAGCACCATTAAGCCGAGTCATGAGGGCGCCTCATGGGCCGGGTTTTGTAAGTGCGCACACACAGAGCACACTTCTGCAAAACAAGCTTTTTCAGGAAATGATTTTTCAAGAAATGCTTTCCCATTAGTCTTTTCTTTGCTGTAGATGGTCCTGGATGTTGCCTGCTACTGAAGTTGCCAACAAGTTCTTCAGACAAAATTACTCTGAATTCCTTCTGGCTCATCTTTGTAGCACCATCAGTGTTATTCATGATGACCCATGCATTGCATATAGCCATATCTAAAATGTGCAAAGGTGCAACTCTCCACCATTTCCTGGTTTTGGGTTTTACAGTATAGCATGTGCAAAATTGATCCCCAAGATCTACACCGCCCATGCTCTTGTTATAGTCAAAAATTGAACTGGTACATCCAGTGTGCCATGCTGACCATGGACTTTCACATTACGGCGGACAGTGTTAGGGTCTACAGCTTGGTGACAGGATGATAGCATAGTTACATCTCTGGTGTCTTTCCATGTACAGAACAGAAAAAAATCACATCTCCTGTTTGTTGTATCGCCTCGATTCATTCTCTTTATAACTGTGTTATAAGCCCATGTTGTTCGCGAAGGACGTAACTCAGCGTCCTACCAAGCACTGGAGATGGCAATTAATACCCGGGACATCAAGCGCCCACGTCGCCGACCCCATCTCAGATGGATTGACAATATTAAAAGTGATCTAAAGCACGCCAATATTGATATTTCTGACTGTTTTGAACTGGCTCTAGACAAGAAAGAATGGCTGATGCTTGTGGAAAAATGTGCTGCGCTTGCGTAGTTGTTCTTACTGCGATACGTTCTAACAATAATGAGATGCCTTTTGTCGGCTCTTCTGCCTGGATTTCGTTGACAGATGCGTTAAGCCCATGGATCCTTCCATGAGTGAAATGCGAACTGTAACTATTATTATTATTATAACCCATTTCCTTTAGAATATGTTTGCGATCTCGCCACACAGTGTCGGCGGCATACGTGCTGCGGGTAAATAGATCAATAAACAGAAGTGGACTCGTGTAAAAATTATCCATGAACACACAATCATTTAAGTTGAAGAGTCCCGTCATCAGTTCCATAGCAACAGTATAGGCTAACCCACCTGGAGGCAGCACACGGTCTTGCTCTTGGCCAGCTTAGAGAGAGAAGCGCCATGTGTAACCTGTGCAGCTGCATGCAATGACCCATAACTTGATTCCCCACTTATATGGTTTGTTCTTGATGTACTGTTTAAGGTGTGTGCAGCCTTTGCGTAGGACGAGTGATTCGTGAATAGACGCATCACGCGAGAGTGTCCATGCTGCCTGGAATTGCGTGTTGAGCAGCTCCACAAAACTGGATACTTTTGCCTATCGCTGACCGGCAATGTGGGTAGTGTTGTTTGAGACATGAAGAAACCGTAAAATGTTGAAGAAACGTCGAGGTGGCATGGTTCGGCTTACGAAATCGTTCCACAGAAGATCATGTTTACTACACTAATAGTCCTGAATAGCCGGCAGCCTAGCGATGCCCATGCCGATGATGAGGCCGATGAACGCGCGCATCTCTGTTTCATCAACTGCTGCATAGTTATGTGCTCCTTTTTGTGTGTCGTACCGATTCGTTTTCGTCACGAGAATCGTCCACGCAAAATTACACAAGAAACCAAAGAAGAATAGTGGGGTTACCATACCTCCTGCTGGAATCACAATACCGAGCCCTGCAACTGCACTAGGTATAAATGCTTTGACATTTTGAGGTGCATCTATGGTGCTCCATACCAAATTGTCAGAAACTGAATTGGTCCTCACTGCTTTGCCATCACCCGTCCTCTCCCACGACCTGTCCGCGAAGTTGCAGACTGAGCTGGCCCAGCTGTGGCCACATGACCTGTCACATTTCTGCGCTGCCTGCCACATCCGCGCTGCACTCTAGCTCTGCCGCGAGCAGCGCCTCTCACTTGAAAATTTGTTCCTGACGGAGCTCGCAGCCCAGCAGGATTCGCTGCTGCAGCGATGTTATTTGAAATACCACCGCTGCTCTCATCAACGCCGGAGCTCTTTTCAGTGCCACTTGACGCATCAGCATGATCAGATCCCCTGTTGGGCAGCAAGTCAAGTGCCTCATCAGGGCCGTCAGTTAGCACGCGAATGGCGTCCAAAACTATTCTTGCAGCGGCGGAAAGGCCGTCACGCTCCGGGAGTCGATTCACCATCAGAACTATCGCTATCGGAGCTATCTACTGGTGAATCCTCTTCGCCACTGCTGTCCCAGATTGTGGCAATGAGATTAGCAAAAGACTCGTCTCCTAGCGCCTGTACATCCAAAAAAGAAGGTGTGCGAGTCCTTTCCGCCATGCCTGAACAGTTCTTGACGGAAGCGCTCCGCAACTTTCGTACTGCGCTTCCTGTGCTCAATACTTGAGATATTTTATGTGAGAACTCCATGTTCCAGCGGATTTAGACAAAATCGAGTGTGCTGAGTCGATTCCAGGGGTTATTTTGGTCAAAAAAACAAGCTCAAGTACTGAAATCGGTCGCGCAGTGTGCGCACTGCACTGGTACGGATATATCCAAACTATGGGCCTCAAAGGGTTAACTGTACTGCTGCAGAAACTTCACCCCGAAAAGTGGCCGATTGGCTTGAGGTTTGGATTATTCCAACGGACGTATATGGATAACAGTTCCAAACACATCATGAAACCACTTCATCAATTTTCATAGCTTGTTTAGCGAAACCCTTTAGCCAGAAACCAAATCCTATATTATAGGATTTGCTGGTGACAGTTTAAGAGATAGCCCGACACGATAAGGTCACCTATGCACGTGTGGTGTGTTCTATATATTGCAGCATTTCATGATTGCAAATCACCGCCCTATATTCCAAATTCCTCAATTACATGGTTGAAAAGGAAACCAACAGGCAATGGCACGTTCACATCAGACAAAGTGTGGGTCCAATGCAACAAAGGTCTCGTATATCGCGGTTCGCTTCCTTTACTTTGTGTAGGTAATGGTCAATGGAGTGGCGGAGAATCCGTGCGTAAGTCATACAGGATTACATTGTCTCACACTGCTGGTGCAATTGACGCTATGTGTAACCGTGAGCTGCTGTTTTGATTAATATTCTAGCTATATAACTGGTTGTTTAAGTGATTCTTACCATGCGACGATGTTCCACTGATGATAGTCACGAGAAAACGTTCTGGATTTTTTAATCATTTTAGTAATAATTGACCTATAGGTCTGTTGTTTACTGATCACGGCTCAATTATTGTTTTATACCTGTACATGGTTATGAGTGCACCATTATTTTTATTCATTGCTAAAATACATTCCCATTGAAGAAAGCAGACTGAGTGCTGTTCTGCTCAAATCATCTCATGTTTTTACAGGGACGTCACACACGTCACGACCACCACGACAATGGTCGTACCACTTTTCGCCCAGGATGGTCCACCCAATTCATCCAAAAAAGCAAGAAAAAAATTCCAGGATCTTCGGGCTTGTGCAAAACATCACAATTTTAAAAGTTGCTTTCATTGCAGGCAGCATACTATGATTTCGTTCAGACTTGATGCCTAGCAGCTAGCACCCCAAGACTCCAGGCGCCAACAATTGCGATAGGCGGTTGGAGTCATAGGTAGAGACAACCAGATGATGGATTCCTCACAGACGCATTCACTGCAAACTTGACGGAAACAGTGCTGGCGGCGATCACTGGGTCCAGAACTAAAAATTTCGAAGATCTACCATGTTACAATGGCGATCAACATGGTCAAGAGACACTACAAGCATGTCATTTGTCAGCTACAACATATCTTTTCCACAACGACACCTATCAAGTACCTCTGGCTCCTGACGATCAACTGCAAGCTGATGCGAGAACGCATTACATCTACACCTGCGAACGCCGCGTTTGTCAACGGAATAGGGAAGCGCTTCTTTCTCTGAAATTGAAAAGTATTTGGACTGCTGTTCCATGGCGGCAGAACATTCTGCATCTGTTCACCGACACAACCCGCTTCATCAAACGTCTTACGATCGTTTCATTCTCCGAATTTTCTGATACCAGAAACAAGAATTGCGTCCGTGACAACAGGACGAAAGTCTCTCGCAAACTGAAGTCCTGTTGCCACGAAGACAGGGAAGATCCCACAAGCTCATTCTTCTGCTTCCAGTTTTGAAGCTCTCCGAACAAAAAAAGGATCTTCTCCTCTCTCTAAAAACAATTATTTTATGACTATCCGCGGGCCGGCCGTGTACATAGACTAGTGCATGTGGCGTGGCGCACTTTCGCAGGACATGACATACCTGTACGTTTTTTCACAGGGGCTGGCGCTAAAACTGTACTTCGGATTTTGCCATTTGTTCGAGGGCAATGGCTTCCTTTTTGCATTGGCCACCTATGATGTACAGAAAATTCCAAAAATCCATCAGAAGCGTTTTTGAGCAGGAGTGGGTGTGAATAATTGGAGATAACATTCTGGTAAATAGACTTGTACTGTTACGATAGTTCTGACGATATTGTTACGATAGTTCTGACGATAGTATTTATTTGATTGTATTCTTACTTTGTAGCTGAGTCCAGGCTCGTTGGAATAGTTAGCCGAATTCTCCGCCGAGTTCTACTTCCCTAGCTTCTATAAGAATTCTCGTTACGGACTAGTTTCGAAGAGATTCATATTCTTGTGCATTTGTTCTCAAAAAAATTCCTCGTCTTGTGCATTTGTTCTCAAACAAATTCCTCGTCTTGTGCATTTGTTCTCAAACAAATTCCTCGTCTTGTGCATTTGTTCACAAACAAATTCCTCATAGTATTTGTTTGACTCGCGCGTAACTCACCTTTCTTTGGTCATGTATGACGTATCGGTATGATGTGAGTGTTTACACACTCTGTTTATGACCACGGGACGGCATGCTCACGTGGAACTACAGTCAGTAGGCTAGTGCATTTTAGCGACTGCAGCGATCCAATCTTCTTGCTGCAGCGCTGTTTCTTCTTCTTCTTCTTCACTTGTGTCTTTTCTTTGGTCGCTGCACTAGTTTGTGATTACCATGATTACGCGTCAATGGACGACATGGTCGCCATTTTGTGCAGGTCCTTTTTCCTGATGGATCGTGAATCTTGTGGAAAACGAACAGTTTTCTTTTCTCCCAAATTTACTACTGTAACAGTTTTCCCCTGTTCTCTATAACTTTACACTCCCTCGCACCTCATGCGTCTTACGCCTGTCTATTAGCACCTTCATTGGCGCCATTGCCACATGTATACTATCACATTTTGCATATAACTGGTCGAGGCACGCTCAACCAGGCCTCTTACTTTTCAAGTTTGATTAAACCTGTTACACTGGTAGCAGAGGATGGTTCCTACTCTGCTTTTGGCAGGTGTTCTGGTCGCTCTGCTTACGCTCCTCGTACTCGTCGTTCGGCTGATAAACGATATCAAGACCGCTCAGCGCGTTAGCCAAGGAAACCGAACGATACATCCGAACTCGGAACCGTGGGAGCCAACACCCCGCCTTACGAAAGAGCCGCCTGTGTTTGGAGGAGATTCCGCTACATTCAAAGAATGGACGTTTGCAATGGACATGGCCCTACGGTCGTTGGCACTCCCAAATGCGGCACAGAGGGTCGACTACGCGGCAGGATTTTTGACTGGAAACGCTCGTCTTTGGTTGATAGCGGCATTGGAAGCTAACCAAGTGTTTTCCGACTGGCCTGCTCTGAAAGCGGCACTTGGCGATGTGTACGGACCACGGCACAACGAGGAAACATCGCGTATGGGACTAATTTCCGCAGCGCAGCGCGGGTCGCTGGACGCATACATTGCTGCTTTCACTCGCCTCAGCCTGCAAGTGCCGGAAATCGACCACCACACCAGAGCGCTGCTGTTCGTCAGGGGTCTAGTGCCGCACATCCAGCGACAGGTCATGCGTGAGCATCCACGTACCCTGGAGCAAGCTGTCATGGCAGCAAACACCGTGGAGCAGTCGTCAGGGCCACCGGCGTCGGGGCCACCAGCCAGTAGAGAGTCGCGTTCCGTGCCCAGCTTCCGTGGTCAGGGCCTCCGCAAGCTGACGGACCAAGAGCGTGTCCAACTGCGAGCAATGGGACACTGCTTTGCTTGCAGGAAGCCAGGCCACCTCGCTAAAGACTGTACTGAGGGTGGACAGCGCTACCCAAACGCTGGTCGCCAGTAAGAAAGGGGGTGCGCTTACTGGCGACGACCCAAGCGCCCACGCCGGTACCAGTCGCTAACCGGTTCGGAGCTCTGGAGGTTGAAGACGTTGCTCTCCAGGAACCTACGGAGCCGGAGACACCCATAGCTGTAGGAAATTGTCCCGTTGCAGAAAGGTGTCATGTCAGCAACGTCAGCGTCGGCAATGAACCTGAACACGACCTACTGCGCATACAGGGAAAGATCGGCGGTCGCCGTGCAGTGATGCTGATAGATTCCGGTTCGACGCATGACTTCATTGCAGACAGTTTTGTTCGAAAGCATCATCTTGACACGGATGCAAGCTCAGCAGTGCTGAGCGTAACATTGGCGGACGGCTCGACCAGCGAGGTCCCGCAGATTTCCACACGCACGCTAAGGGTGACAGTCGGGGGCTTCAGTGAGGAACAGCACTTTACTGTGTATCCCCTGACTCGCTACGACGCTATTCTTGGCAAGCCGTGGCTTACAAGGAACAACCCCAGCATCAACTTCCGTACGAACGAAGTTCAGTTGGACGGTGAGCCCTTTGTTGCCAAATTGCCTTCAGCTAACCCGCCGACAGCCGACCGGCCATCTGTGGAAAGCATGTTTATCAGTGGCCGACAAGCTCGTCATGCCCTGAGGAGTGGAGCCGAGGGGTTTCTTGCATGGGTCACTGCTGCAAACGAGGAGAATCGTTCCGGGCCACAACTCCAGGAATCAGAGCAACAAGACATCCAGAACCTGCTCAAGAGGTACCAGGATTTATTTCCAGACGAGCTGCCGAATGAGCTTCCACCGAAGAGACCAGTCGACCATGAAATCCAGATAGAAGATGGAGCCAGACCACCGTCTCGACCCGCCTACCGCCTGCCGAAACCAGAGATGGACGAGCTCCAGTCACAGCTATCAGAATTACTTGAGAAGGGATTCATTGAGCCAAGTAAGTCGCCATACGGTGCACCTGTGTTTTTTGTGAAAAAGTCGGATGGTACTCTGAGAATGGTGTGCGATTGGCGAGAATTGAATAGAATTACGATCAAAAACAAAGCTTGTCTTCCTAATATTGATGACTTATTCGACACGATCCAGGGCAGTGCATATTTCTCCAAGTTGGACTTGCGGTCAGGCTACAATCAAATCAGAATTCAAGACTCGGATGTTTCTAAGACGGCCATTAATACGCCGTTCGGCCACTTCCAATTTAGAGTCATGGGATTCGGGCTGACTAATGCCCCGGCCAGCTTTCAGTCACTCATGAACTCTATTCTGCAACCGCATCTCCGAAAATTCGTTGTAGTATTCTTGGATGACATTCTAGTTTTCAGCAAGACCTGGGAAGATCATCAGCATCATCTTCAAACAGTTCTAGAAACACTTAGAAATAGTGAGCTGTATTGCAAACAGTCTAAATGCGAATTTGGCGTGAGAGAAGTTCTCTTCTTGGGGCATAAAATCAACGGCACATCAATTTCCCCTGATCCCAAGAAGATAAGTGCTGTGGAAACATGGCCAACTCCGTCGTCAGTAACTGATGTGAGGAAGTTTCTTGGCTTTGCAAACTATTTCCGAAGGTTCATAGATCGACACTCGACCATCTCTCGTCCATTAGAAGAAATCACCGGAAAAAATTCACGCTTTGAATGGAGCGCTGCTAGACAGAAGGCATTCGAGTCTCTAAAATCAGCATTACTCGAGGCGCCAGTGTTGCAACTGGCCGATGTTGAGAAAAGCTTCATGGTAGAAACTGACGCAAGTGACTTTGCCGTGGCGGGTGTGCTCCTGCAGCAGGGAGAAGATATGGATTTGCATCCCGTAGCCTATTGTAGTCGGAAACT